AGTTTTAAGCCTTTTGAGGAAGATATGCAATTTTTGTGAACTAGCTGGAAACAGTGAACACTTCCTAAAAACACACACACAAAAAAAAGTTAATATCAAACACAGAAAAATAGATGCATTAAACCAGTATGTATTGGGTATGCATTAAGATGACTTATTTTGGGAAAATTTTGATTGCAGATAGAGAAGATTGAGTGGGACGCCTGGACATGTGTTCTTGGTCCTACATGTGAAGGAATTTGGCCCACGCACAGTGATGTCACTGTTGTAAATGCAGCTAGTCTTACCAAAGATGGAACACTATTAGCTACAGGAGATGATTTTGGGTTTGTGAAGCTTTTTTCATATCCAGTGAAGGTAATAACTGTATTTATTTCTGTGATTAGAAACCATGCAAGAAAAAAGATTTAAGGAAGACACTGTTTGCAATATGTCAGACTGCTAATACATGAATTCTTTGTGCTACAGGGCCAACATGCAAAATTCAAGAAGTACGTGGGTCACAGCGCACAGGTAACCAATGTGCGGTGGTTGCACAATGATTCTGTGCTGCTGACTGTAGGTGGTGCTGATACAGCTTTGATGATCTGGACCCGAGAATTTTTGGGCATTCAAGAGAGTAAGCTGGTTGATAGTGAAGAATCAGACACAGATGCAGAAGAAGATGGAGGTAAAAAGGAGTGTATAAAACATGTGTTTAATTTAGTCTTCATTCCACAGAGATTCACACAGGTGTTTAACTGGAAGTGGGCAAGAAACTTTCATATGCTAAAGTTCAGCGTAGGGAGAGCGTGGCAGGATTTGTTTCATTCCTCTTATTGGTGCAGATCATCTTGCTTTCTACTCTTCCACTATGCAACAAGGGTAGTTTGTTTTATTTTATGTTTTATTTTTCTAAGGTTATGATAGTGATGTTGCAAGAGAAAAAGCAATTGACTATACCACTAAGATCTATGCAGTAAGCATCCGAGAAATGGAAGGGACAAAACCACATCAACAGCTGAAGGAGGTTTCAGTAGAAGAGAGGTATGTCACACAAAGGCATTCGTTTTCAAATGTCCATTGCATTCTTTTCAATCTCTTTGCATTCAATTAAAAATAGTCTTTAGAAATAAGATGGTACAACATGTTAATAGGATGGAGAAAAATATGTCTATGTAAGTAAAACACCTGTGAGTGTTGCATTGTCTTCTGCTGTTCACATAAGCACTTATAGTCTTTCCTAATTAGTATGTGTAGCTGTACATCTGTCTCCAGCAGGGTGTCTGTGATAGGGTGAGCTTGTAAATACTTTGTAGTTAAGGCTTTTGGTGATGTTTTCATTGAAAGTTTTTCAGTTCCTTAGAATTGTGTCAGGTTGTTACTGTTAAAGCTGAAATTTCCCACGGCACACTTTGGCCTTAGGCTGAATTATTCTGAAACAAATAAACTGGAAGGTGAACAGTAGTGGAGAGGACCGTAAAGAAAAGAGGTAGGAGCTAAGCATAGAGGGTGAGGTCCAGTGAAACACAGACCTAGGGGAGTAGGTGAGTAAAAATTCTGACTGTGACCAGACTGCTGGGACAGAACAGTAGTATCTATAACCAGTAAAGTACGTTCCACTTTGTGATCTGGATCAAGGCACATTGTATCTGTACAAAGTATGCTGCGCATTAATCAAACAGCTGTGGCATTTATTGGTAACTGGGGTGTCACACTCCCCTTTTGGGATGGAGCTTTAGGAAGGATAAGAGCCTGTGAATGCTGATGGTTACTATAGGAGTTCAGATGAATAAAAACCTGTACAGTAAATTTACATCTGTGAATCCAGATGATGCCTCAACTGTAAATCCATGCAGTTTCTTTGGATAGAATTGTTTTTTATCAGGGGTCATTCTTTTACAGTGAGTTTTCTTGCTTTTGCCCAACATTGGGCACTGACAAAAAGGACTGCTGTGGGTTAACCCACAGCAAGAATTTAAGCTGAGTTCTTTCCCCTCAGTCTAACCGGTACACATGACTAGTAACAATACCAGTAGTGTGATGGCATATTGTTCTCCCCACAGGGATCCTGCCCTTGTTAGAGAAGAGGATACATAGTCCTCAGGGAATATTGCGGGTGCAGAAGTAAGCACTGGTGCACTGTAGGGTCCCTGCTGCAGGTAGTGCAAAAGATGAGAGCGTTGTATGTAGAAAGAGGCTGAGATGGCAAGAGGAGAGTGCTCTGAAGCCTGTGGAGAGCTGCTTTCTTGCTGGTCCTGCTTCTGTTGCCATTTCTTGGCGATGGTTGGCAAATAGAATATTTTTACAGGCAGCCTCTGTGTACCTCATTCCCTGCTGCCAGCTGAGAGAAGTACGACTGACTTGCAGAAAAACTGCATACTCACAGCTGCAAGTGGAGATTGTTCAAGCAGTTCTTTGAACAAATGTGTAACACATCATTACATTGAACAGTGTAAGGTCTAAGTTTCTTTTACTTGACTACTGAAAACTAGTGTCAACTTTTGAGATTTTTGGCTTTAAAAATCTCTTTGGTGTCCTGATGTGTGAGATATGGAGTGGAGTTAGTAATACTTTCTAATCTCGTGTCAACTTTTGAGTTTTTTGGCTTTAAAAATCTCTTTGGTGTCCTGATGTGTGAGATATGGAGTGGAGTTAGTAATACTTTCTAATCTCGTGCAAACCTTTGAAAAATTCATTAGTTTATGTTTTTAAAGCTCTCAGAGAATGCAGTGCTGAATATCATGGATAGAAAGTAATAATTTTTCATTCAGTGTTTGAATAGGAGCACAAATGTTGGGTGTGAAAAATGAGAAGAAAAATATTGCACCCCGTTGATTTCTTTCATTATAACGTCTTAATGCAAACATGCAGCAGGAGATTTGGTGATTTTTTTCACTAAAATGTTGGACCATAACCATTTATTTTCCCCTTCTTTAAGGATATCTCTTTCCATTTTCTCATTTACTCATGTAAAGTCTTTGTTCCTCCATTTTTCTATCAAAAGGCATAAGGAAAAAATTTTATTTTGTTTTGGGTGAATACTGTTGAATTGTTATTACACATAAAATAACAAATGCCAGTAGTACAATGGCCAGATGTTTTATACCAGAAACCCTCGTACCTTCCAGCTGCTTTATTCTGCTTCGATGATGAGTTTAATTGACCGATTAAGCTGAGTTTACAACTGTTCTGTACTAGTGAAGTACCAACAATGTGAGCATAAGCATCAGTCTCTTTTGCAGCTTTTCAGCACTGTTTTCAGTCTAGGAGTGAAAAACCACCACAGTCCCTTTGGGTCCTTAGAAAGCTTCCTTTCTCTGAAGCCCGGCCATGCTTACATGCAAGCAAGTGCCCTGCTTCTCCAAGGAGTATCTCAGTCTGCCACGTACACTTCAGGCTTCCTGACTGCCGAGTCTGTCTGCATTCTCAGTCCTATGTGGCATAAGCTGATTCAGCCAAACCTGCAGCATTGCTGTGGAGGAAGGCAACCCCTGAACAGAACAGGCAGTTTGCCTTTTTCAACCTTTCTAACAAACCATACAGCACCTGCAAAGCAGCACATGACAAGACAACTTTCCAGTTTGTCGCGCTAACACTGATAATACATAATGGAGGGAAAACATGCTTTGTGCCATGCAATGCCACAAAGCACCACTTCAGCTGGAAGCTCCTCTAGTATGCCCAAGTGTTTCCAAGCTGCCCCCCCGTTTAGAGCTGGTGGGCCTGATTACAGGGGTAGGCATCTCCTCTGCAGTGGGGTTGCCTCCAATTTCCATAATAGTCTCTTCGTAATGACTGTACATGAAAATAGCATACTGTAGTCTGTCTGAATGAATAATCTGTCCCATAGCAAGTTCTTGACTGAAGAGAGCAAAAGAGAAGGTTTTAACATTCTCCATATCTTTTTTCTTCTTACTGTCTCTATGTAATCAACAGGTTTGTACTTCATTTTAAAATAGCTTAAAAATAAACCCTTGTAACCATCCTTTCCATATTTTCTGCTGAAGAATCAGAGCTATTCTTCACATGTTTTGTTTGTCCTCTTTCAGCCCTTCACGTTTTATATGTCCTCTTTCAGTTACAGCTACTTCAATATAATCACGTTTGGTATTTGGAATTTGTGTTCTGATAAATTTGTCAACAGATCCTGTACTTTTCATATATATCTTGTTAGGCAAAGAAATACTAGCTTCCCTTTCTTCATCAGATTAATATAAATTGTCAGAATTTATAGTCAAACAATTAGAAATTTTATGGTGAAATGTAGGCAAAACCGCAGTTTCTGAGGGTGTTGTGCTAGGATAAGTCCTTAGGCTGTGAAAGGTACCGGGTTTTGGATGCAGTAAAATGAGATTAATATGCTGGCTACTGCAGTTGTCAAAGGCTTCAGGTTTTTGGCCACAGTTGCACCAATATGCACACAATTTATGCAGGATGTCAACACTCCCAATTATGAGTGCTTCAGAGTGAAGCTGACTTCTCTGGTAAAATATATGAGTTATGAGGCAAGCTTCGTAGATGTGCCAGATGCCCTAACGATCTAAGAAGTGTCCTCCTTGATCTATTTTCATTGTATGTCTGAGAAAGGAAAAATTCTGAGTTATTCATAGGTATAATGGATAGGAATCCAGAATTAAACAAAGTAAGTTTAAATTAAGAAAAGAAAAAAAGAGAAGAACAAGCTTCCAGCTCAAGCAGGAGAGAGGAATAGCTGGGGCTGTTGCTCTGAGCTGCTTCTTGGGGGCAATGTCTTTAAGCTCACTATGTTTCTTTCTTTAAACAGTAATATTCAGAAGGTGAATAGTTGCTGAACAAACTATTTCCCTGCTTATATAATACAAATACTCTTCAAAGGTATTATGTGACAGCCAGGAGACAGTTTTTGTTCAAGAAGAACCTTTTTTTCCCTCTTTACTATAGCTACATTTCCATCTTTTTGACCTTTGTGTTTACTAGAATAAGCTTGGGGGTCTCCATGCTTCTGTAATATTAAGAGTGGTGAATCTGAAAAACTCAAAGGACATTATCTCTGTAGAAATAACAAATCATGGTACAGTTCAGGAGGAGTTTGATCTTGAGAACTGTGAAGTCTCTTCTGAAACTACTGCAAGTATCTGTTTGAGAGCTGATACAGGCTGTGCCAGGTTAGGAGGCAAAAGCTTTGCAACAAACACCACCCTTCTGGAAAGGAATCAACAATTCACAGATGATGCCCCCAAAATTAATACAAAGACTTACTCTGCTGTCTTCTTGTCAGCAATTCCTGTCCGTTCTCTCCTCCATCGTGGGAAAGCGAGTAGGAGGATAGATTTGACATAATACTTGTATCAAGATGACTGTGAGCAACTGCTGTGCATCCTCTGTTACTGCCTGACATGTGCTTTGTGCTTTGCACAATCCAGCAGGATGAAAAGGAAATCTATATTACACCAGGACCTCCAGCGTAAGCAAACTGGGTGGAGAAATTTCATTATTATAAAGGGCAAAAAACTTACATACCTGGGATAATATTAAGGTTTTTCCTTAGAAAATAAAATTAAAGTCCTTTATGTGCTTTTCCTGTCTTATTTATTTGTGTAATTAAAATAAAGATGATTCTGCAAATATCTTGCATGAACATACAAGTTACACGATAGATTTTACTTGCAGGATATGAAATAACTCACGGTCTGGTATTTTTTGGTGGCACTCAAGATTCACTGTCTCCATCAAAAGCTTTAGGATGGAAAAGTAACAGGAGAGATGAGGCTGAGGAACAGTTTTTAAATGTCTTGTGGTTGTATTAGTTGGTGCATTTGGTTAAGATCATTGATTGATTGTTGTTTCTCTCTCCTCTCCCCAACCTTCTTGTTTTTCTTCTTCTCCCTTTACATGTCTGTCCTCCTGTCCTCCCCTCCTGCCCTTATTTTTCTCTTCCTTTTTTGCTCCTCTGATTGGCATCCTCTTCTTTGCTCTGCCTGTGTGATACAGAAGTGGGGTGCCAATGAGAGGTGCTGCAGGAGCAGTCTTGCGGTGCGGGAGCTCCAAGAGCAGTGCTCCCACACCATGGGACCGCCTGGTCACTGCTGGGACTGTCCCAGACAATCCAGGACAATTGTAAGCTCTCCTGTGTGTAATGTAGGAATTGTGCTCCATTTCAGAAAAGGGCTAACTTTTGAACTGGGACCATTTGAACTGGCAAAGAATTTATATAATAAGAAATAAACCACGCTTGCGTGAAGACTATTTATGTTTCTAATCTGAAAGGCAGATACATTTGAATTTTGCATTCTGCTAACCACTAACATATATCCTGTGTTTGCAGCTTTCATTTGCATGGCTCTACATAAACTGAAAACTCTTGTAATATACCTGGTGATGGAAAACCCTTTAAAGCAGGTTGAATGTGTAGAAAACAAAAAGCAGCATTAGCAAGTTTGTCTAGTTTTCTGTTTTCTTAACATACTGGCTTGTCTCACTCTCCATGGGGTACGTGTCTCAGAGCCTGTTCTCAGTTGTGTTATTATGCATCATTTGTAATCACATGCTCTGATAAAGATGAGAAGCCGTATTTTCTCTCCTCAAATATTATTCTTTTATTTATTTCTTTACAACAACATGAGCTAAATTATATAAGCTTTCAAAACAGCCCCCACAAGTGGCGAGTACAAGCCTTTCTACCATAAACCAAATTATTAGACATATTGTTACAAACTTTGTTCATGCATTTTACATGCACACTTCTGTGTGTGCAGTGTAAAAGCTTTGAATGTGAATTGATGTTTTGTTTTTGTGTAGGAGGGAACTATTCAAAATGTGTCTGGGGCGGAGAAAATAACTTTGGGCTTATCTTGGCAGAAACCCACAGTTTGAGAAGGAGTACCATCCTTTGGAGTTTTCACTTTTACTTTCTCAACAGCATTATATCAAGTTAATGCGTGCTAAATGTATTTGGCAGCATGGTGGTTGTATCACAGCTGTCCCCAGGGCTGGAACACGTAGTGACTGCTGTTTTTACAGCTCCTGCCAACCTCCTGACACAGGGTCAATCCCATTTCTCCCACAGGTCAGCACAAGCTGGCCTAAAGGTCTGTCACTTGTGTGACGCTGTGCGTGTGGAACTGAGAGATGCCAATACTGTCACAGCGCACATCTTACCAAGGTTTCTCTCTCTGAACTCGAGTGCTCTATGCCCTGAGGCTGACAGGAAATATTCAGCTTTTTTTGAGAGTTGTTGTATAGGTTGTAGTCCAGGAAGGGGCTGTAAAAGCATTGTTCTGAGATGTTTTGTTGTGCAGGGGAAGGATGCTATTTTATCTGCCTGGTATGTTTTGCCTCCAGCCCAAAACTTCTCCATATACTATTGGTTGAATATTTTTGCTTATACAATGAGCACAGCTTTGAAACATATCAGAGTTTATGTAAGGAATAACAAACCAAATGGAAAAGACTCTTCCTCTAAAACATGATCACAAACCCTGAGAGAAGCCTAAGGCAAGAGAGAGACCCTCCAGAATATGCTAAAGTTGGGTTGATTGTGATGCCTTGGTAGTAATGGAGAGAGTTGTCCTGAAGTCTCATTACCTGAGGTATTCAAAACTTTTTAGCTCAAAGACAGAAGTTTGGGGTTTGCCTAAAGCATGTTCCAATGTGTTCCTTGAAACTGGATTTGGCAAAGGGGGCTGCGAGATCTTCCAGACAGCCCTGGCGGTCCAGGGTGTTAGGTATGACAGATCTCTGCGATAGGGCCGACATATTTTACAGTCAGTGTCCAGTTCAACAGCTTTCGTATGACAGATCTCTGCGATAGGGCCGGCATATTTACAGTCAGTGTCCAGTTCAACAGCTTTACCAGATGGTTAGAGCAATAAAATTGTTAAAAAATAAAGATTCAGATTTCAGATTTAATTGAGAACTTATTATCCTTCTTACTAACCTGCTTTTCTGCTTGTTTCACATTTGGAGACTGAACTAGAATGACAAATGAATGCAATGACTAGCTTCCCTTACAAAATACGAAAATGGCTATCACTCCCATACATTCTGCAATACTGTTTCTTTTTTTTTAAAGAGTGCATCAGCATACCTGTGAAATCATAAATATTGTAAACATGCTAAGGCTTTTTCAGTGCTATGCTTATAAAAAATAATTTAGATAACAGTTTGTATTTCCCTCTATTTTTGTTTCAGCTTTGCTTTGATCCACTGTATTAGAGAGTAGGATATTTTCATATTCAGTACTATTCCTTTTTGTTGTCTTGTGTTATCTGCAAAATACAAAGGAAAAGTAACCGCAGGAAAGTTGTATGCAGAACTATGTATGTTGGGATGGGAAAATCCAAGGGTCAAGAATTCACAAAATCTTTTAATCACTTCTTAAAGCTCTAGGAGTTTTGCAGCAGTTTTGGGGCATTTGGGAGTCCCCCTCCTGTTGACTCCTGGAAGTGTACTTTTAAAAGCTGCTTTTGCATTTTTTCTTAAATGAACAGTACATTTTTTTTTTCATCTTTAATTTTTAATTGTCTTGTCCAAGCAAACCTACCAGCAGTGGATTGTCTTACCTCTCTTTGAGCCTTGCTTTCTCTTCTTCAGAGCAATCCTGCTCATTTTTATTTTTGTGTTGCAACCAAGTACATTCCCTCTCTGCTTAGCAGGCATCTCAACACACACATTAGTCTCCCATCTGGACTCTCTTCAGCTTCTTCTCCACCCATTTCTGCTGAGCCTGACCTGTCACCTTTTTGGAGTCAGGACATTTTTGTCCATCTGTCCCTGCTCCAAACCTCATTGTTTATCACTTTCATGCAGCGTTATTTCTGAAGACCGAGTTCTCTTCCATTGGCCGCAGAACAGAATATTGGTGTTCTCGCCAGTTTAGTACTGATGCAGACAGCATCTCTCATCAGAGAGCAATTATCCCATGTGCTCTAAAAACACAAGCTGGTTATCTCTGTCCCATGGAATTGATCATGACAAATTTGGGTCTGCTTTTTCTATTTTCTCTTTAAATGGATCTAACTTTTTTTTCCCCATTGCTTTGGCCCTGTTGTCTGAGATCACATCTCTTGTCTCCCTCAAGGTGCCCCACTCTTCCAAAACCTCAGTCCCTCTTTCCCCCCTGCCCAACTCTCAGTAGGTCCGTCTTATTCTCTGTCCTAGTGCTGCCTGTTCACCCCACCCATGCCTTAGGCTCCTCTTCCTGTTCATTGGTCTTGGCCATTTCAAATTGCTTTCTTGGTTAGGTGACAGTGAACGAATTGTCTCTTTACATTTCTACCCATAAAGAGAGTGGGTGAGAATCTGTCAGTTTAAATCTGGAGTTAGCTCACCCGTTTATAGTCGTGGATACTTGTGTAAGCATATCATCAAGATAATAATTAGTAACAGAAATTTTATTTGCTATGTTCACAGTATCTAAAGAACTGAAAGCCCTCTAATGTCTGACTGTGTCTTGTCTTTCCTGGAACCCATTCCTCCCGTAATGTGATACAAGCACATTTATTTTAAATCACTGGGAAGAAACCGTTAATGCTTGTATTATGTTTTAACTTGCTTTCCTTTGGAGGCAGGGAATTGTCAAGTAAGTACTAACACACAGCACAGAAAAAGCACAGGTTGCTGTGAATGTGCAGTGCAGATTGCATAGGTCCAAAAGGGTAAATATATGTAATTTGCTACAGTGCCAATTTCTTGTCTTGACACTGCCGTCTTATGTATCAAAATAAATTAGGTGTAGTCACAAACTTGTTAAAAATTAAATGACTTGTTAAAATGTTAAAAATTTGATGCTGCTTTACATTTGTTTTATTAAGATAATAATGAATGCATACGTGTGTATATATACATGTACATGTATATATGTATGAATGCACACAACATTTGTGTTTGTGTGTACTGTGAATAGATATATATAAAAGTATATGTGTGTATGTGTATGTTTCCAGATTAAATCTCATGCTTACAATCTAGTGATTATCAGTGGTGTCATAGTGGTAGTGTTCTCTTGCTTTCATAAAAATTCTGGCTTGCTCTTGTCATAAAGTTTAACTGATGTTCCTAGGTAAAGAAATGTAAAATGATCTACTTTAAAAAATTACACTAAAACAGAAAAAAGAGCAGGAAGCATACAAGAAAATGATTTATTATTTTCAGAAGTGCTGATTCAAAGGCCCTAGTAAATCTGGGATGAAATGGCTTTTGCAGTTCTAGCATCACGTAAGGGTTTTATTTTCTAAGAGAATTAAGTTTTGTAATAATTTCCTCCCCCTGCCCCGATCTCAACTGGTGACTGCGCTGCTGTTCGGTCCAATTACCACTGATGGTTACATAACATGACTTGATTGACCACTTTCAGAGAAAATAAAGGTACTTGTTTCTCTGTGAACAAAAAGTACAAGCTGTCCCTGTTAGTAGGTTGGCGAACCGATGAACAATTATGAGGCTAAATTGGAGGCTGAACTAGGATAGAAAACAATCTTCCCTTGTGGGAAATTCGCAACAGTGCTTATGAGACTGGTAAGTTGGTACCAGTTTCTATCCCTGACAGACACCTGAAAATAACCAAAATGTGGAATCACATTCTCCTTCACTATAATGTGTGCAGGAAGCATAGGTGTACCTTCCTTTTTTCCCTCCGTCCTGTAGGATCTTTAGTTCAGAGTATACCCAGGGATTTCTGAATTTGTAGACTGGTGCACTCTTTAATTTCTGTTTTAGTTCTTGCTGGCATGCTTGAATAGCATGTTTTGTGTCACAAAGGAATGACTGAACAGCTCTAAAAATGCTTGTGCATGAGTAAAAGTGGTCAGAAGTATTCCTAAACTGTATTAAGTTTCTTACTTGGCTTTGTTTGCTGCTTCCAAGGGGATCAAGGTAACTCTTTCACTTTTAATATCACAAGATCACCTGCTCATGTACTTTGCTAGTACTCGGTGAGTTTGCTTGTTTGCTTGAGAAGTGGGTTAATTTGTTCACCTCCGGCTTTGTTCTGCCTTTCTTAGAGCTCAGATTTTCATGCTACTTACTCCTGCAATAAGTATTCTAGCTGTGTAGCAGTAAGTGTTGTAGTTGTGCATTTTGTCAATTGTTGCCTTTAATACCTTCCATAAAAAGTACAATTCCAGAAAAAGCAGCTCCCTCTAAGCAGAAGGGATTCCATTCTTCAGCAATGAAATTCTGCAAAATGAGAGTTAATGGTAGTTACCATATAAGGACAAAAGCAATCTAATTTTCACAGCATATATAATGTATATCAAGTTTGCACCTTTTTGAAATCTTAAACTGTGGAAATGCTTTCCAAATTTGAGTGCTTATTAAATAAATTGAGGCCAGGTATTTTGTTTTTTTATTTATGGAATCCCACTGTTGTTTAACCCCACCTTAGAATCTGCAACTGGAGTTTAAAGGCATGCAGTGGGGTGGGCTTTGTATTATTAACAGCAGCCATCAAGTGATGTTTTAGAGCAAGCATTTAACTAGAATATCTGTTTTTATTCTTTTGCCATCACCACTTCTACCCCAACCTTCTAGCAAGACCTATTTTCTAAGTAAAAGATCATCAAACACGAGAAAGAGTCTAGGCCAGATTTTGATGGGACAATTTCTCCAGTAATCGAGTGCCATTTTAATGTCTCTGTTCTGCTGGTGACAGGGTTAGAATTAGCCCTCATGAATTCCTGTTAGCAGAAAGGGAGAATCATTATGGTTAAATTAACACAACAGTCATCTCGGGTGGAGCCTGGGCGGCAGACATTTGATTTTGTAAGGTCATGAACTTCTCGAGGCTGAGCTCCCTCTACTCCTCTTAGGTTTGAGCCTCTCTTTTTTTCTTGGAAGGATCAAGTCAAATAGTGGTAAAGGTTATCTTTAAAGAACATTTGCATGAACCAAATTTTGTTTTGGTCTGTGTTCTGCATTTGTCTTTTTAGCTACTTTTAGCAACTGTAATTATATGAAAATGCTGTACTGGCCTTAGTCTCTGTTAAATTCACGTGGCTGAGGGACTTGTACATTTTAAAATGTAATCATTTTATCTTTAACATGATTTTGAGAAGATTTTAATACAGTCATGTCAAGGTTTTGTGATGGGGTTTCTCAGAACAAGCAAGGCTGGGGAAAGGTCAACTGCCAGCCATAGAAAATATTTTAGATAACTTCTGAAAGCGACAATTTACTATCGTTTAGTATTCAAGGATTTCCCCACGAATTTAAATCCTTTAAAAAAATAAAATTGCTGTACAATGTTCTGTTCTGCCACTCATCCACAAAGTCTACATCAACGTTATTTCTGCGATTTCCATCAAAATGTGTATGATTTTAGTCAGCTTATTGTATAACTGTAAAAAAAGCAAGGCATTCAGCTCATCTAGTATCAACTGGCCATTTCCTGTTCACACACAAAACATATGCTATGGTTTTGAAGGATTTAGTTTGCTTTCAAATGTATTGATTGTCTTCTTTCTTAAATGTTTGTTTCAGGCCACCAGTTAGCAGAGCTGCTCCTCAACCTGAAAAACTGCAAAAGAACAATATCAGCAAAAAAAAGAAACTGGTTGAGGTCAGGCTTATATACTTTTTCCTTTGCTTTATAGGTAATATGTGCTGGGTGAAATTCATCCCTATTTTGAGGGCAGCTAAAGCCATGTATCGGTAGATGATAAGAGAAAGGAGTTTCTAGACAGAGCTTTCAGCCCTGGTGGCAAACACCAGAAGATGTGATAGAGGGTATTCTCTGTCAGAATGAACCTCAGATTCAGGGTGTTAAAGCTTACCTATACTATCAGATGTCTCCAAACTCTGAATTTGTCTCTTAATTGAAAGGGCAGGTAGAGCCGAGGTGTATGTCTTTGCACAGCAGAACCCACACTCAGTGCATAACTCCAAGGGAAGTATAGTCAGAAACTGCACTTTCACACGTGAAAAACCACCTGCGTGACTTTGAATGATGAAATTTGCTCTTTTACTTTGCAACATGTATTTTCCCCACACTGCATTGCCCCCCCAGACAAGTTTTTGGAATTTCCATGTAATGTGCTGAACAGGGAGTACTCTATGGTCTGTGTGGACAATTTGTAATGATTGCTTGGTCTGTCAGTGTAACTCAAATTGTTCCAAGCAAGCAAGCTCATTAAGTCTGTCTTCTGGGCTAGAAAAGCAACTTTTAACAACAATCCATTAACCATCACTGTTTTTTCTGGAGGAAATTTCCTTGGCAATTGCTTATTGTAAGCTGAAATTATACCTCTGATTAATGTTAATTATAGCCTGCCTTTGCTTCTTATAAGGACTTTAAGGTCAGAATTTGGTCTGTTAAAATTTGGTAGTTTATGAGAAACATTTTTGAAGACTCCTAAAGTAGAAGTAGAGATGTTTGCAAACACTGTGATGGGAAGATGAATAAAATTGGACTTTTTTTTGGTAAGTTGTATATATTTTGAATGAAAATTTACAGAAACAAAACATTTACAGATGGCTGAATTATTAAAGAACTAGCAATATAAATGCAGTGCCTTAGTTGAGTGATTAAAGCATTGTAGAGTCTGTGAGAATGTCATGCCTCAATATTAAGTAGCAGAACAAAGATAACTGAGTAATTATTGTTTAATTATTCCATTACCTCCATAAGATATTTGTAGCTTGTGTAATTACTTTAGAATGGTGCTTATGTGATCCAAACTCTGTAATTTCCTTGTTTCTTCTTTCACTGCACTCTTATTCTTTCTTTTTGTTTTGTTTGACCAGGAGCTGGCTTTAGACCATGTTTTTGGATACAGAGGATTTGATTGTCGCAACAACCTTCATTACCTAAATGATGGTGCTGATATTATTTTCCACACAGCTGCAGCAGGCATAGTTCAAAATCTTTCTACTGGTAATTCAATTTGAAACAATACATTGAGATAAAAAAATATGCTGTACAAGTAAAATATTTCTGATTGAAACTCTTAACTTTTTAATGTCCTTGTAATTTTCTCACATTTTGCATCTTGATAAATAATGCAGAAAAATGTAGAAGGCTCTTACATCAGATTGACAATTTCTCCTGTTCAGGTCACGCTGTAGAGCCATCCTGTTCCTTTCAGCAGGTGTGATTCTGCTAGGAAGTGTAATAAAAACCTGTTCTGTTTCTGCAGTTGTGTCTTGCTGAAATCCATGCTGAAGACACAGGAATGGTTTTCTCAGAGGAGAGAGCCTGTGTTATGAAATGACCAGAACCCCCAAAAATGTTAGGAGCAGTAACATTCACTGTTTCATTTTTAGTTGTTTTAGCAAAGTCATACTCCAGGGAAGGGCACATTTTGATGTGATACAGTGTGAGCAAGTTGCTCTTTAGAAGGGGTACAAATATTCCCTGCCTTTTGGGTAAGAGGAGAAGGAAAAAACACCAACAATTTATCTGGCCTTAAGTGGTAGCGCCGACATCTCCATATTCTTCATGTGTCTCAAGAAACAAAGACAGGAATTTACAGAATTTTGTCTTTATTTTATTCCCTTTTGGTGCCACAGCAAACCAAACGGTCACAGCGGTGTGCTTAGCAGCTCTGCTGCCAGGAAGGAGCTGAGGCAGAAGAGCTGTCACATCTGGGCACCTTTGGGGACTCCAGTCCTAGCGCGGCCTCTGACCCGTGGCACCGGGAAGCACAGTCCCATGTGTTCTTTCTGGGCCCTTTCCCTTGGGAAGATTTTGCAAAGCGCAGACTTCCTAGGTCTTTACTCTCTGCTTTGTTTCCCACTGGCTGCTTCCATTTACGAGGAAACCTGGGCCCTGCATGTGACAGTTTTGCTTTTTCGTGTGGTTACAGGAGGCTACAGGATGGTTCTTGGGCTGATTCCTTGGACATAGCTAGTTTACCAAATACTGCACATTTATATCTATATCACCTATGTCTGTATCTATTGATGTGTGTTAACAGTTACGTTCATAGTGCATTTGGTAGTGGTGCCTGGGAATGAGAGCAGAGCAGCTGTCACCAAAGTTGTTGCCCTGCACCCATCCATTCCCTGGAGAGTTCAGCATGAGTGTAGCTGCTTGAATACTCTTTGCTTCAGTGGTGATTCTTTCTTCTATACTGTTGTGAATAAAAACGTGTTTGAATTTTATTAGGTAGTCAGAGTTTCTACCTGGAGCACACTGATGACATTCTCTGCCTAACTGTGAATCAGCACCCAAAGTATAAAAATATTGTGGCTACCAGCCAGATCGGTAGGTGACTCTCCACATAACAAAGTTTTACTCAAAAATTACCAGGGCCACTGATTTATTTTGGGCTTTTGCGCGTAGGAATTTTACCAGGACATGCCAGTCTTACTGTCCTCTAACTTCTTTGATTTTAAAGAGACAATCTAGCTTCAAGATTTTCTTAGGATTTCAGTTTCTTCTCTGATTGTGAGTCATTGGATTTTAGAGTTACTTGTAGTTTAATCATATTTCAGAAAGCAAGTTTTCATAAACTACACTACGTCATCTTATTAATCTGTAATCACAAGATTTATAGAATTCCCTCTTTCCTGCCTGTATCCAAGATACAATAATTAAAATTTCCAATGCAGAAGAACAAAAGTTGTACAGAAAAGGAAAGAAATAGAGTGAAATCTCAGTGGAAATTATGACACATGTAAGGGGCCAATTGTGAAACCACATGTGTTTGTTTATTATTTACACATAGAGCCCTGTTAGATTCCCTAGTACCTCTTGCAGGAGTAAACATTTTATGGGAAATGCAGGATCATTTGTCCCAAGCCTTGAGAAGGATCTGTTGCTTCTCACTTAAACCAGCTTACTACTGGAATAATTAACTTTGCAAAAAAGAACACTGTCATTCTAATTCATATTATTCGAGAAGGAGACTCAAGTCCATAACTTCTGAAATAAGGAACTTAACAGGGGGCAGAAAACTGGTAGTAGATGAACACCTTGACAAACCATTTTTGCCACCTGTACCAAGTGCTGTCACTTCAGTTTGAATGTTGAGTAAACATAAAAATCCATACATATTGTCAGAGCTCCAGTTCAAAATACTGATTTCTATGACACGGGAGAGGTGACTGTTAAAGGCCTTTTTTTCTATTCTGTCAATAAGAGCCCATGAAATCAGTGTTTCTGATTTTGGTTGATATTCTGTATAACTACAGATTCATTTCACTTTAAAATGTAATAATTTTTTAAAACTGCATGTCTTTAGCATTTCTTTTAAATACCATTTTGAAAACTCAAAAGTACTAAATATTGTTGCAATATTTGTGTATAAAACCCGACATACCCAAAAAAGTTCAACAATATTCCTGCTTATTTATTTTGTTGATTTAATCCATATCCATTTTCAAATCTTTAATTTTGTTTTCCTTCTGGTGCTGATGCTGGCACTTCAGCATTAGAAACATGACTTATTTCACCTATTGTTTTCCCTTGGTGCTTCCTCATTTGCCATTGCTCTCACAATGCAGGTGATATGACAGAATTTCCAGGTAAGGCTGATTTGTTTGTGATTTTAGTCAGCAGAGTTATGTAAAAGTTTCATGTTACCTCATTGTATCTGTGTGAATCGCGGATACAAGTGAAACATCTACAGACTATTTCTTTTGCATGAGGTTCTTCATAAATGTTACTTTGTTCTTTTAGAATTTGTCTTACTTCATGAATTACAATGATTTCTCCTTGTGTTTTGCAAACAATTATGATTTTTTTGAGTAGTGTTAATCTTAAAACAAAACAAAACCCCACAACTTATAAGTGTCTTGTTTAGGTTAAATGTTCTTGAAAAATGCACATTTTGCATGGAAGCTTTCCAGATACTGAACTAATTCCCTTTTAATACATCTTTTTGCACATAGGTACAACTCCCACAATTCATATATGGGATGCTATGAGTAAGCAAACAATTTCAATGCTACGTTGCTTCCATACCAAAGGGGTCAACTATGTTAACTTCAGTGCAACTGGCAAACTTCTGGTGTCAGTGGGAGTTGATCCAGAACATACTATCACAGTGTGGAGGTGGCAAGAAGGTAACTCAGGAAAAGTCGTGTTCCTCAGCCTAGCAGAACTGTGTACAGTTATTTGCTTTTCCCTTCAAGTCTTTGGAAGAGAGTGGTGATTTTACTCTGAGTATCATGTCTTCCTAAGTCACAAAATCAGTTAAAGGAGATAGCAAAGTGCTAGAAAATACGATTTAAACTTCTATTATAAATAGAAGTTAAGGAAAGAATGTTGTTTAATATAAAAATCCATGAAATTAAGGAAAGTATTTTCTTCACATAATGCTTGAACTTGAAATTCTGCACTGTAGATAGGCCTTTGGGAGGTCATTTCCAGAAAAGAATTAAATGGTGGAGGGGAGAGGAAAAGTGCCTCATCTCATTAGATGTTTCCCTGTGCGTTCCACCAGATGGTAACTCGTTGATGATATTCAAAATTTCTGTGTTGTTATTTCACTGACCAAGGAGTCATGCTAGCAAACCATAGCAAATCATGCTGTAAAGATGTAATTCTTCATTTCCTAAAACTGTCGTATGCAATGGAATAACCAGGGACCATGCAGGTTGCATGAATTAAGATGTTTAATACACTGAATAATGTGGGGATTTGCTTAGCTTTCAGCATCGGGGGCACAGGTCTCTAATCTAATACCAGGTCAATTTATTTTATAAAGTCGTATCACAGCTTAATTTTGCCGGTAAATTTAACTTTATTTTTATCCTTTCCTAATTGAAACAGGGGCTAAAGTTGCTAGCAGGGGAGGACACCTGGAGAGGATATTCGTTGTAGAGTTCCGCCCAGATTCAGACACTCAGTTTGTGTCTGTTGGAGTAAAACACATGAAATTCTGGACATTAGCTGGCAGTGCTTTGCTTTATAAGAAAGGAGTCATTGGTTCCATGGAAGATGCCAAAATGCAAACCATGCTTTCTGTTGCCTTCGGAGCAGTGAGTTCAAATTACTTGCTACAGAATTTTATAATACATTTTTATTAAAACTGCAAGTGTCAATTTCCTTTGTTGAAATCCAGTACAGTGTGGACAGCACAAGACCATGGAGCTCTTGCTGAATAGTTAAACTTTTAATTTGAGACTTGTATGCCTATAGATCCTCATGTAAGTTTCCTAAACAGGGTTGGGTTTCTCTCTCAGTGAACATTTTTTATTCATGTCTGTGCATACCTACAACATCAGCTGCCATGACTTTTTTTTTTTTTAATTTACTAGTTATTTAGCACTTCAGTGGTTGACTTAGAAAAATGTAATATTGTTATTTTGTGTATAGGCTCTGCAACCTTTTTTTTTCTGCTGACAGTGTTTGGTATGACATATGGTGTTGGTTGGACTTGATGATCCTTGAGGTCTTTTCCAACCTTAATGATTCTATGATTCTATGCTAGTGATCCAGCTCATGGTGACAGTATATAATACTCTCCTGTATCATCATTAGGGAACCATAGTACTGTGCTTTAGCCTTCATAGTTAAGGAAAACAATACATATTAACAGTGAAAAAGCAGTGTTACTATGATCCTAAGGACTGAAATAGCTTCTGCTTCATCCAGAAACCCCACACAAATTACCCTTGCAGAGGTTAAACTGAAGTTCTAAACATCACCGATTCAAAGAAACTCCTTGCTCATAGTTATCCACCTGGACAATAGTACTAATGTGTGAAATGTGAGTGCATAAAATTAGACACCCAAATCCTCATTCTTGTGCCCAAATGACTTTGTTGTCAAAATTTGCTTAATACTAAGCATTTATTTCTATTCCAATGGCATTATTCCAGTATAAAATAGGACTCATGTAATGGACACTAAAGACCCCTAAAGTGATTTTAAAAAAGAAGCAGAATGTAATATTAGAACAAATTGCTTATCTGTCCTTTCCAAGTAGAAACAGTCCAACAGGCATTTTATTCTCTTAAATAGTAAAACTAATATCCTGTAAGGGCCACCTTCAAAACCAGCACATGAACTCTGCACTATTAGCATATGTAATTCATGCAGGATGTTTTTTTCTTCCTCAAGTATGTGTTGTTGAATCCCACTCAGTCCATGTCACAGGAGCATGAGCAAATTACTCTCAATAGAGTAGGGGCTGTGCATGTATGTTCTGCTTCTTCATGCATACATGGACCTCACTCATTTTCATCCAGGTTCATCTAATGCCAAAGTCAACAGGTCATGCTGGGATACAGCCACACCAAGTTTTTGTCTCAAATTGTAGAAAGTCATTCTGGGGCTTCTTTCCCCCAGTTCCTCCAGCAGGCACCATTGCTGTTTGTTGCAGAAGAGGCAACTTTCCTTTGAGCCCCTATCAAAAGGGTTTACTCACAATTTTTCCTGATATCTATTATTTGAATCAGTGGACTTCAAGGTCAGACGATCTTTAGTTCTTTAGGCAAGGGTTTCCATTTAACAGAGCACACTCCAAAAGAGCATTTGCAATGCAGAATACTTGCTCCTTTTTCCCATTCCTCAGGGAGTCCCAGACATCTGACCAGTTTGCTCCACAGAGGGGTTTCATGGCTTTTATGAGAAATTATGCCGTTGCTGTGGTGCCTAAAGTATGTGTCAGGTTGAGTTAGTTCTGCATTTAAGTTTATACACTTTATTTTCAACATCTGGAAGATAACTGCTTGCCAGTCATCTGTGCTGAGATTCTCACTGACACATACTCGGAGAAGAAAGAAACATCACCTAGAATTCAGCATCTTGCCAGCAGGAGACGTGGCATAACACACGCATAGCAAAGGAGGTGCAGCATCTGAAAGATCTCAAGATGATTTGCATGCGGGGAATGTCCCCTACACGTATGATTTATAACTTCTCAAAGAAATACCATTAGAGTGCAGTCATTAAACTCATCCTCCCAATGCAGATGGTTTTAATTCCTACATAAATTGCATAGTTGGCTTCTTTCAAGAAATTCAGTAGCTAAAATATTGTAATTCAAGCTGAACAAAAATGCTAAGGTATTTATTATATCAGAGATCGTTGCTGTTTGTTGCAGAATAACCTTACATTTACGGGTGCCATAAATGGAGATGTCTACGTCTGGAAGGATCACTTTCTGATTAGACTTGTGGCAAAAGCTCACACAGGGCCAGTGTTCACAATGTACACGACTCTTCGAGATGGACTCATTGTCACAGGAGGGAAGGAGAGACCGTAAGACACATAATCTTCCTAAAGTGCACAACATTTGTGTCTTTTGTATGATTGGGTTTTTTTATTTATCCAATACCCTAGACATACACAATGCTTCCCAGAGATCAATGGTATCTGTACTGTAGCAGTTTCAATCCAAATTTTACATTATGTGCCCAGGTGTATTAGTAAGTAAAGGACTACTCATAAGTAGGGTACTCAAGGGTCACAGTAATGCACATTATGCACAAAGGACATACAGAACCTTAAATTAGCAATTGATATGAACACCTGTAAAATCTCCTTGTTGCATGAGCTCCTGCCAGCCTGGCAGAAGTGGGTTTTTCTTAATTTTTTTAAGTCTGTCAGACTTCAGACAACCTCTCCCAGTGGAGACTCTGTGATTAGTAAGTTCTTTGTTTACTAGAAGTAACATATTTGCCAAGCTTATCTTGGTGACAGAAATTTGACATTAAGTGACAAGAGAACAATTTTGGTTTTTACAAATTAGGCATGATACTGTTTAAAACATGAAGTGTGATAGCATTTAAATTTTTATCATTTACTTTCCATTGTACCATAGCAGGGTGTCCCTAAATACAGTAGAAGGTGATTCAATGTATGTTTTGTTATTGAATCAAGAAAATACTGATGGGATTTACGTATTGGGATTTGTTGTAGCCTGTGCAGAAGGAGACACCTAGGTAACACAACACACTTCTTTTCAGCACTAAAGAAGGGGGAGCTGTAAAGCTATGGGATCAGGAGATGAAACGGTGCCGAGCATTTCAGCTTGAGACAGGCCAGCTCATCGAGTGTGTGCGCTCCGTCTGCAGAGGAAAAGTAAGTGAGCTGATGCGGCAGATGTTACGCTTTGGCATGCATCACTGCAAGTTGTTCTTGGTGGAGGTTGGATGGGAGACGCATGGGAGAAGGCTTTTGTAATGTTATGGGAGCAGCTTTGTCTGCCTACCTAGCAACATCTCCTTACTTGTCTTCCTGACCTCACTGATGGGCTTTACACTGCCCAAGGATCGCATTCCTGATGCATAGTGCCTGCCTTGCCTCTAGTCGCCAAGGAGAGGGAAAGGCCTCTGAAGGACAGTGCCGTGTAAGGTAGCACCTTTCTTTTCAAATGACAAAAGGAATTTAAGTACCTACTTTACAAGGTTTGCTTCCCGTGCAATGTAGGAACAGCTTAGGTGTTTCCGTTAGGCAGAATGGATCCTAGTTTTGGTTTGTTTGGGTTTTTCCCCCCAAGTCACAAATTGCCACTGAGAATTACTGATTGACTTTAAGTTCTGGTAAAGTGGAAAACAACTGAAATATTGGAGAAATTCGAGATGCTAAAATCACTCTCGCACATGTTTAGATTGTACGTGTAAATGTTGTGAAAGGAGTGTGTGATGATGCAGGAGCATTACATATGATGGGTCCAACCTCACCCTTCGTGAAATGGTCTCTATTTAACTTTATATATCAAGTCTCAGGAATTTGACTTGCTCCTTGATAACACCACCACAGAGGAATGTTGTTTTATATTTCTATTCAACTAGCCATTAACCAATTCCAAACTGTATCTATTTATGCTTTTTCCAAGTATTTGCCAAGAAAGCTCTTGCAATTTAGATGATGCCCATATGGCTAGAGTAGATGCGAAGTGCTCTTAAACAGTCTGAGCCTAAAACCCTGTTTTAATTTTTTTATTGCTGCCGAAATATTAGATTTTGTTACCTCAGAGGTATAAGAATCATGCTTTGACAACTTGTATGTAAATACTTTGATCTGAATTAAAATCCTTAATGATAAGATGTAAATCCACTGTGGTCACTCAGCAGTAACACCAGAACATGATATCAGATCTTCAGATGTGCAATTGTCAGTGTTTCACTCCTGTTTTTAAGGTGCTGTGTGAACAAGCAGTATAGGTCAGGATGGGATATCACAGATAGTTCTGCAACACATTAGTACTTTATTGCTATCTATATATTCTGTCTGTTATACTGACAACCCATCTCTCATTCTTTTTTTCGGATACAAACAGGGAAAAATTTTAGTGGGAACAAAAGATGGAGAAATCCTTGAAGTAGGAGAAAAAAATGCTGCTTCAAACTTGTTGATTGACTGTCACATGGAAGGGGAAATCTGGGGCTTAGCAACTCATCCCTCAAAAGACATATTTATCTCTGCAAGTAATGATGGAACAGCAAGAATCTGGGATCTGTCTGACAAAGTGAGTGTCACTAAATTGAAAAGTGTATGATTAAAAATGATTATTTTATACAGCAATGCATTTTTCCACGTATGATGTGCCAGATATATACGCGCCTTTGAGCAGCCGTGTAAAGACAGCAGCGTTCCTCTTCTGGTTTGGTACCATTCTTTTTTTTTCCTGCTATGCGGTGATGTGAAAAGGTAAGTCCTTGGTGAGATACCATGCTGCTCTTCCAAAAGCAAGCAATTTGCAGAGAAATGTAGTTATTTAAAAGCACTCCTGCTGGTGGGCTGCCTTTGGTTGTGTGTGGCTTATTTTGATCTGGCATGGATTAAGGAAGCATTTTAATTCCATCCTGACAGACTGGGTGACACGGATTGTCCTGTCACTGACTAATATGCAGACCCTGGCGATAAGCCTGCCTTACTGCCAGGCACGGCTCCCTCCTTTTTAGAGCCTTTCTTCAGAACTGAGCATGTTGCATCATGTGTAGTTCAGGACTTTTTTACAAGTCAAATTGCATAACAACAACTATTTTTAAAAATAATAAGTAAAACATTTTTTAAAATAACAAAAAGGTTTCTGCTTATGCTAGCCTATATAAAACTTCTCAAAAGGCAGTTACCTGAGCTAACAGGGATAATTTTTAATACCGAAAATGAGTATATTAGAAACACAATCAGGTAAGTGAAAATGCAAGACCATTCTAGTATGTTTTCATGTGGCAAATCAACTAGAAGAAACCTACCCTGATCAGCAGTTGCAGAAGCTATCAAAAATCACCTTTCAAACAAAATAGGAAGTTTATTTCTTTCAGCCTGTTCTGCTAAATAGTATTCTTTCTGGTGTATAACTTGAAGAAGTCACCCTGCAACAAGATAGATGCAAACATGAAACTCCCATTTGAATTACATGTATATTTTGAAGTCTGTTTTGCGACATATGCCTGGTGGGATGTGATTTTTTGATGTGAAATTTCAGGTTTATATTTAGAGGAAACTGAAGACAATTTGGGTTTAATACTTTGTGTTTGGAAGCTTTTCTCCAGGGGAGGTCTGAGTCTATTGCTTTTGTTAACACAGAAGCTGCTGAACAAAGTGAATCTGGGTCATCCAGCAAGATGTGCCACCTATAGTCCTGATGGTGAAATGGTTGCAATTGGCATGAAGAATGGAGAATTTGTTATTTTACTTGTAAACAGCCTTAAAGTTTGGGGTAAAAAGCGAGACAGGAAGTCTGCAATTCAGGATATCAGGTATGTCAGAGATTTCAGGTGAAACTCTCTGAATGCACAGCCCTTACTCAAGAAAAAGTCCATCAAGTTCCAAGTTGATTTCCAGATTTTTTGTATCTCTGTATTTGTTGAAACCTGCTTGAAACCATGAAATGCATTTACTGGCTGGCTGATGGCTTTACCTATACCCAAAGCTTATATTTACATATACCTAAAGCTTAAATGTCGTACATACACACTCTTTTTTTTTTTCCCTGTGATTAATTCAGTTTATATCCCCTTAAACAGAGCTAGTAATTTGTACGCTCTGGAGTTGTGATTATGAGAACTGCTATTATAGTACATTTTAAAATTGTTGTTCCTGTTGCTTTCTCACAGAGGACTAGTGTTACTCTGCACATTGTGCTCTGTGCTCTATGCAAGTGCAATATTAACATCAGTTAACCACATACGATATCCTTAGTCTTCTCATCTACTAAGCATCAAGGTTTGGTTTGGATTAAATCTTTCTGTTGATAGAAGGTTTTTCTCATTTTTCAGTATAAGAAATTTGTTTGCTTGTGTTAACATGAGAAGCAAAAGCGAATCTTACTCATAAACAGTAAATTATATCCCCATTCCATGTTTTACTGTCTAGGATCAGCCCAGATAACAGGTTTTTGGCTGTGGGTTCACAAGAACATACTGTAGATTTTTATGATCTCACTCAAGGTACAACCCTAAACCGAATCGGCTACTGCAAAGACATTGCAAGTTTTGTCATACAGATGGATTTTTCTGCAGACAGCAGGTACATTCAGGTATGTGTCAGGTAAACCCATGTTTGTTTGTATCTATTGTGACTTATTATGTTAACAGACTAATAACAAGATGGAGGTAAGGGTGAGGGAGGCTTTCCAAAGTTACTCTGAATTTCAGGGTGTCCCTAAATCTTCCAAGGTAGACTGGATAACTCGGATTGACTCAATAGAGAAACAGTTCTCCTCCCTGCTTTCCCTAGGATGGGATGCATATGACAGATGAATTAATATGAGGTTTCCTTCTGAAATTTTTCTTAGTTAGTAAAATTGGGTTGACATAAACCAGAGAGTCTATAACTGAAAGGCAATCTATCAGCTATGCATATGCATACGCACACCTCATTCAGTTGTCGTCCTTCATATAGCATGTAATGAATTATGGCTAATTAGGAAAAATCAGAAATACTATCATAGATGTTGATTTCCTGATAAACCCTGTTGAAAATATTGCTGCTGGAGATCTTATGACGAAAATGATGGGAAAGTTGCCAGCTTTTTCCTTTCCTACTTTCAGGTATCAACGGGTGTCTATAAGCGTCAGGTTCACGAGGTACCACTAGGAAAGCAAATAACAGATCCTGCCTTGATAGAAAAGATCACATGGGCCACGTGGACAAGGTAAAACACTAAAGAGCAAAGTTCTGCCTGATCGGGGACAGGTGTAAGACAGAACTAAGATCAGATCACAATATCAGATTGTGTAAACCAAATGCTTGAAATGTCCCCAGGGTTTGTCAAACCTGCGAGAGAAAGCATACACACTCCCCTTCCCCAAAGCTGTCTTACACACTTACTTTTTTTACACACTTTTGTAGCTGGTTGGTGTCTGTAGGAATTATTACTGTAGTAATACCGAGGGCTGTCTGTCATATATCCACAGTGGCTTGTTGCTGTTCATCTCGGGCTTCCCCCTCACGTGGCTCTGTACCACCTTTCTACTGGCACGCGGGCATAGGCGCTGCCTTATCCCACATCAGCAAACACAAGCAGCATAGGAGGCATGGAAACGCGAGCTGGTTGTATCAAGAAAGAAAGTGTGGGTACCATTAGAATGTATTTACTGACCTGGATTTATGCAGGACCCTCCCAGCACGGTTACAAAACTGTGGCTGTGCTCTTATTGTAGGAAGTGGCACAGGCCCAGAGCAGATCTGACAGTAAACAGTGGGTGACGATACAGGCAGGGTTTCAGGAGAAGGTAAGTGAGAATCCTCCCACTCTTACTGCTCTGCTGTCAAGCAAGCATAAAAATCTGCCCCAAGTGACTTATTTCTAAGGACTCTTGACAGATTGTGGGAGTGGGGCAGATGCATCTGCCAGTTACGTGGGTAAATAGGAACCATTCTAAAGGCACTTAAACTAAGGGAAGAACAGCTATTTTAAGAAATACTCTACATCCAAACAAGCATTCCCTCATTCAAGAATTTACAGCTTAAGAGAAGAGAACATCATTGCTGTTAAAAATCACCGTGGGAGGGTACATCCATGTTCATAAAGAAAGGAGGAGACCATAGCTGCTTGTATAAAATGATGCAAGTGGTTTCACAGGAGATAAACCTCAGGATTTATGGATGGAGATGGTTTAAAAGTCACGCAAAAAAAAAAAAAAAGCATTATTGTGATGCTCTCCATTATGAGATCACATTCGGTGCAATGATTTAGAGGGAGAATACTTTATGTTAAAGGCGGCAATTTTTTATCACTGGCCTGCGTTGCCTCCCCATGCTGTGGAAGAGAGCAGTAGCAAGTAAGTCTTACGGTCTAATGCTCTTTTTTTAACTCTGTTTTGGAACAGCATTCTTGGAGACGAAGTCATTGGAATTTGGCCGCGAAACGCAGATAAAGCAGATGTCAATTGTGCGTGTGTGACCCACGCTGGCCTAAATATAGTCACAGGAGATGACTTTGGTCTGGTGAAACTGTTTGATTTCCCATGCACAGAAAAATTTGTAAGTGGATTTTTATTTTGTTTTTTAAATCTAAGCAGCTTGTTTTTCCCCATATTCAAACTCCTTAGCATATACTTTAAGGCACCCAAATGGCGCTGTCCAGCAGGTCATCTCCAAGCAGCTCCCAGCCCGTGCTGGCTGCAGGAGCCTGGGAGGCAGTTGGGCACAGAATGGCTGTCCCTAGGAGAGCAGCTCGTAGGTGACAGGGTAGCCGCTGTCACCAGGGAGGACACGACACACGGAATCAGGTTCTGGGTTGGGATCTCTGTGGGCTCGAAGATGCCAGTACTGCTGGGGATGTGGCTTTGTCTACGCCCAGAAGGCCACTTTGTCACTCTGTAACACCACACTACTGTACCAATTCCTGAACTTGTGTTCATTTTCTACCAGGCCAAACACAAGCGGTATTTTGGGCACTCTGCGCATGTCACCAACATACGTTTTTCTCACGATGACAAGTACGTTATAAGTACAGGAGGAGATGACTGCAGGTAACTGCTCATTTATTTTTTAGATAATCAAAAATGTTGTGTGCATCCTTCTACACCAACCCCGCAGCAATGCATGTCACACCTTGCTCAGCCCACTCTGCATTCATTGCAGCCTGCTGATGGGTGATAGTTGTACCTTGTTTTTCTTACTCTGGAATTGCTGTATTTTATGGTCACTTGCACCTGATTCAGTCCTGCCACCTTGGAGCCATTCACAAAGTCATCTTTACAGGGTGAAACACCTTGCACGAGGGTTTCCCTGTTTCCCAGGCACCTGCTTGGAGCTCCTTGGCTAGAGGGTGGACAAGGCTAAGCATACCTGCTGCTGCGGGGGCCAGCACCCGCCTCGGAGACGTTGGGCACCAAGAGGGAGCTGAAGGAGTCCCGGCTGCTGGCACAGGCACCACTCGTGTGTCTGGAGAACATTGAGATCAGACAAAGACAGCTGGTGGCGGTGTCAGTCACCCAAAAATAACTCAATAGCTCCCACCCAGGGAAGGGCAGGACAGGAATTCCAGCTGAACAGAAGGACAGATAGAAAGACATTTCAAATAACAGCAGGCTTCTAAAAGGTGCCTTAAGTTGGTGGTGGGGTGTTTTTTGGTTTGGGGGTTTTTTTCCCTAGGTGGAAGGAAAAAAAAAAACCAAACAACAAAACAACCCAAAAAAACCCCACGAGACTGTGTGTGTGTGTGCGCACATGCGTGTGACTCCTGCCAGGCTGCTCCCCAAGTCTATGTGAGCTCCCAGCACTGCTCAGAGAGGACACTGCTGTCAAGAAAAACAGGGAGCAGAGAGGTGAGGAATGAAAACTAAACGTGGTTAAACAGACTGTAAGAGACTTTTGAACAGCAAAATGGAGCACTAGAGCAGCAACAAGGTAGGAAATGAAGGGCCCAAACTCTCGCAGAAGAGTCAGGAAGCTGCATTCAAGAACCAGGTATTTGTAACTCCTTGCTCAGCAAAAAACAGATGCTACAGGACTGAGGAACTGGTGCCAGTGAAGGAGAGTGCACATCTTCTCCAGATGCAGAAACTGTTGCTGTGTGTTTGCTGGCACCGGGCGTCCCGGGTGAGCTGCACGTGCCTCAGGGAGCAGGGACAGCAGCGCCGAAATGCTGCTCAGAGCCTTACCTGGGACTGTACAGTCCAGGGGGAGGTCTGGAGTCAAACTGGACCTGCACAGAGTGAAATAACTGCAGGGCTGAGCTCAGCAGAGAAAACAGAGACACGTGGACAAGTAGACACACACAGACTGACGGACATACGCACTCACCAAATGAGGGACGCACACAGTCACCCAGAGAGTGACGGACACACATGCACTCACACACAATGATGAACACACACACGCACGTGTGCTCTCGCGCTCTCTCTCTCTTTCACACAGTGACGGACACAGGCACTCACAGACACAGTGAAGGGGACACACGCACTCATACACACAGCGATGGGGACACGCACTCACACACAGGGTGACGGGGACACACACAGTGATGGGGACACGCACTCACACGTGACAGCCACACACACACACAGAGTGATGGGGACACATGCACTCACACACAGGGTGACAGGGACACACGCACTCACACACAGAGTGATGGCGACACATGCACTCACACACACGTGACAGCCACACACACAGGGTGACGGGGACACACGCACTCACACACAGGGTGATGGACACGCACTCACAGGGTGACGGGGACACACATGCACTCACACACACGTGACAGCCCCACACACACACAGAGTGACGGGGACACACGCACTTACACACGGTGATGGGGACACACGCACTCACACACAGGGTGACAGGGACACAGACACTCACACGGTGATGGGGACACGCACTCACATGTGACAGCCACACACACACACAGAGTGACGGGGACACATGCACTCACACACACGGTGACGGGGACACACGCACTCTCACACACACGGTGACGGGGACACACATGCACTCACACAGGGTGACGGGGACACACGCACTCACACACAGAGTGACGGGGACACGCACACCCACCGATGGGGACGCGCACTCACACATAGAGTGACGGCGAGATACACACACAGAGTGACGGGGACACACACTCACACACAGAGAGAGGGG